ACTGTGGGGGCGATATGCTGACTCTGTAAACCGCTTAGGGAGGGCTGAAAGCCCTATGAAGCGCTATATAAGTCTAACTGTTATTGCTATCTATCTATCATCTATCTATCTATCTGGGTGAAATGAGGACCCAGACTGTGGGGGCGATATGCTGACTCTGTAAACCGCTTAGAGAGGGCTGAAAGCCCTATGAAGCGGTATATAAGTCTAACTGCTATTGCTTTCTATCTATAGAAGACCTCCCTAATGGTTTAATGAAGATACAGAACATAGGTGGGGAGAAAATAGAGACATGACATCCCACAAAGTAAATGTCTAGTGCAGTGATGGCAAACCTATGGCATGGATGCCAGAAGTGGGACACAGAGCCATCTCTCTGGGCATGCCAGCCATCGCCTGTTGCTCTTCCAGATTTTGGTGCAGCTGGTCTTCATACGTGCAGGAGCGCCGGAAACCGGAAGACCAACTGACCAGAACGCATGCGTACGCCAGAAATGGGAAGCTCAGCTTCCCATCATATGCATGCACGCTGGGGAACTGTTTTTCCGGTTTTTGGTGTTCCTCCCTCCGCATGTGTGCTCCATTTTCGGCACTCAATGCTGAAAAGGTTCACCGACACTGGTCTAGTGCTTCCCCCTCCACCAATACCCATAGCAACCAGCCCTCCTAAAAGGAAGAGAACCAGCACAGAAGGGTGTCTTCCACTCCTAAATCCCTAAATTGGTCTATAGGAATACCATGCTTGATAGTATTATAAATCACAGGGTGATTAAAATGGATAGGTTATCTCATCCTGAACCCCCAAGAAGTTCTGAACAAGTACAATCAATGCAACTCCAATGTTATAACCAGGTCTGACCTGTTTAAAAATATGAAGATAATGCATTTTTAAGAGATCTTTGGAACTGAAAGCCAACCATCTTCTGAATAACCTTACATAAAAAGGGAAAATTGTACTCTAAACCAAAGTGTTCCATTCTTTTGTATCCAGTGATTGCTTTTTTGAGAAAGTAAACCACTATCTTAGAATAACAGAGTTGGAAGGGATCTTAAAGGTCCTCTAGTCCAAACCCATGTTCAAGCAGAGGGTCTATGATAATTCACCATGGCCAACTCACCATGGCCAACTTATTTCAGGACAACTCATTGCGGGACAAGAGTTACACTAATACCAAAGAAATGTTGGAATGGAATCATTAAAGAAAATATGCAAAAGAAGGAACAAAATGAAATGTAAATGTCAAAAATTAAAATAATTTTATTTATTGTAAATAATTAAATAGAATTGCTAAATTGTCCTGTAGCAAGTTGTCCTGCCATATTGGCCATGGTGAGTTGGCTGTGGTGAGTTGGCCATGGTGACCTGGCCACAGTAAATTGGTTGTGGCAAATTGTCCCATTCCCTCAAGCAGTAGACCCCTATACAAGTGACGGCTAATCTTTTCAACACTTAGTGCTGAAACTGGAGCGTATATGTGCACCCCAGAGCACTGCATCACAGAAGAGAGCAGCTGGCAATAATGTGCGTGCCCACAGAGAGGCTCTGCGTGCCATCTTGGGCACGCATGCCATAGGTTCATCATCGCAGCCCTATACCATTCCAATCAAATGGCTGTCCAAACTCTTTTTAAAACCTCAGGTGATGGAGCACCTACAATGTTGGAAGGAAAACTGTTCCTCTGGTTAATTGTTCTCACGGTTAGGAAATTTCTCCTTAGTTCTAAGATGATGGGTCTTATTCCCCCAGTTAGGGGATTTTGTGTGGGGTAGTGGGTTACAAAATTATACTTCCACTTAATAGTAGGAATGAAGCCTACTGCATAAAAAATAATTACGTTCTATAATATCAGGGGAACCCTAGAAATTAAGAACTTCCCCAAAAGAAAATTACTACAGGCAATCTTTGCCAACTTGTTCAGCAACCATTCAAAGTCACAACAGCGCTGAACAAGAAGGACTTACAACCAACTGCAAAGTTGCAGCCACTGCAGCATACCCATGGTTGCATAACTGTGATTCTGGCACTTGGTGTCCAGTTACAATTATTACATTGTAATGCGGTCATATAATTGTGATTTCCAATGTTTTCTGCTGGCTTCCCACAAGCAAATTCAATGGGGAGGCTAGCAGGAAGTCAGACGTTGCTTCCACTCCTGCAGCTTTTTTGCTCTGTAGTGCCTGCCTGTGGTATCCCCTCCATAGCACTTGCCCATTTGCCAACCTCTGATTTCCACATCTTCCTGCCTAATGACCTGCAAGGTCCTGGGTTATGACAACAACCGAAACTGCCAGGATTGCCATCACTAAGTGATATGGTCACGCAACATCACACTTTATAACCACATCACTTAGAGATGGAAATTCTGGTCCTAATTGCTATCATAATCTGAGGATACTTGCACTAGGCATGGTTGATGGTCAAGGGAGCTTCTGACAGTGCTATTGCTGCTGCTCATCAAATACTTATTTTTCATTATATGATAAAAATACAGCAAAAATAAGATGGCTCACTGCCTGCCCCAGGTGAATGAGCATTGTCCTAAAGACAGCAGTTCTTTAGCTGAACAGCGGGATCATCAAACTTGAGGTATTGCTACTAAGGTCTGATTTAATTGCAAGAAGAGTACAATAACAGACACAGAATAATGCTGATGAATTGTGCTCATATGACATGCTTCCCCATGGTAAACTGAACCATGTATTTACCTCACATGCTAGGTTTGCACAACGTAGTAATCTAAAATCTATTGTAAGCTTATGGCTCAGTGCATTTTGCAAACACAACATATGCAGCCTGCATAAGTACCATGTATCAATCATATTGCATCATGTTTCAATTATATTACAGCATACAGAAGTATAGACCACAGGGAAGCAAGAGCAAAACTTCCAGGAATGTTAGCAGAACAAAACATGTTGATTATTATTCAGTTTGCACTGATCATTTAGCAGCAACTGATTTCCTTTTCCAGACTTCCAGGTTACTCTTTTCACATTAAGATTTTGGGCCAGCATCTTTACACTGAAGGAATGTGATAATTTCACTGAGGACCCCTCCTTTTCTTCCATCCCACCAATTATACGAGCCACATTTACAGAACAGATAGATGCACATTTTTTTTCATTCTAGCCATATTATTCCAGCATGCTGCTACTGCTAGTGGGAAAAGATAAGTCACAGTCAATTAGCTGTTATCCCAAAATGCATCAGGACAGGATTAATTAAAACTCTCTCTTTCCCCACCCAAGGAAAACACATTTCCACATACAATTTTACAGACATGTAGAAGTAAAGTAAAGCTGGCCCTTTAATGCAAAGCCTCAAGAGCACATAAATTTAAAACAAATTGCTCACATTTTTGTAACAAAATGAAACAAGACTTCTCCAATCCATTTGAGGGCATGTAATTCAACAGTGCCATCCTGAAAAGATGACTTACCAACAAGTTATTTCAGGATAAGGTGGGAGCCCATGGATAGCGAATGCACATTCCCCCCTCCCTCCAAGTTAATACTGAACAAGACAGGATATGCAAAGCAGCAATAATTTAATAGAGGGTTGTGCAATTGAGCCTACCTTCTCTTTCAGATTAGCACATATTTCCTGCTGTTTTCTTCTATTATTAGCCACCATCATTTCAGTCTCATAAGCAGTGCAAGCTTCTGCGAGAGTCATCACCGCCTTCACTAAGAATGTTTTCCTAGCTTGGACCCAGTTGAACATCAGAACTCTCAATTGGTTTCTGGTAAAATAATAGTGGTCCCAAGATTTTTCATGAGCAATCTGAAGGGGAAAGGGTGGGGTGGGGGAATGGAAGCATCAAAGGAAAAAGGGGTTATTTTGGAAATAGGCAGAATTGATCTTCTAAACCCTAACAGCTAGAGGTTGCTTTAATTGGATGTTAAAAATGACCTTATTTGAAGCCAAGAGAAGATCAGCTAATAAAAGCATGAACGAATCATGCCCTTCTCAGAAACTAACAAGAGCTACGTTGCCAGGCATTTATAAGGGTTAACGTAACTAAATCAACAACCCAGAAATATTTCTAACATATTGACAGGAGGCCAAAGGAAAGAATAAAAGGCATCTGCCGCTAAGAAAGCGGAGAAATGTAAAGCTAGTCTTCTCCCCAAGTCGTCTCTCGTGGATCCATTCGATTGCCTCCCCTGAAAAACAATTATTACACATTTTGTGAGACATATCATTTTGTGTACCAAAAGCCATATGTACCGAATGCAGCAGGAATGTAACATGAATGCTGTGTAAAACTAATTGGAGTGCTATCACGGATTTCACTGTGATAAGTGGAGAGTTCTTTGAATGAATCTTCCATTATTTAGAAATGATTGGATGTTGCTGTGTTTTGCTTTGAGCTCAGAGAAGAAGCTGAGTTATAAATCTAAGGTTGTGTCCTTTTGAATACTGCCTGTTATTGTGGGCATGTAGGTATGTTTTTTATATTATCTCACCTAGCATTTATTTGAGATACTGAATGGCTAGTTTACTTGCCTACCAACATTAGTAAATTTGCTGAACATTTTAAATGACAATACATTACATTTATAGTTCCAAGCAGACTGCAGAGCAAAAGTGTGAAACTTGTGGCCCTAGTCCAGTGATGGCTAACCTTTTTGTCCTCGTGTGCCAAAAGTGCATGCGCACACATGACAGCCACAGCATAATACAATGCGCGCACTCCCCCGCACACACACACTGAGCATGTGCCCCATTTTGGGCCTAGCAGGCCTCCCTGAAGCATTCTGGTACCAAAAATGTGGCATGGGGGGCGCATCCCACCCCCATGCTCTCACTCTGTGCATGCCTACACTGTTACAGGAGTTAGGTCAGCCTTGTATGCAGCTTTATTCCTATCTAGCATTCATCTCCATTTTTCAGTGATGCATTTCCTGCCTCTCTAAGATTTACCTCTATCTGCTCCTGTGAGGCACTTCCTGTTCCTGTTGCATGTATATCAATGGCTCGTATAGTGTTTTGCAGAGATCCAAAAAGCAGCTGGCCGGCTGGTAGAGTTTAGCTGGGGCTCACGTGCCGGGAGAGGCCTCCGTGTGCTACCTGTGGTACGCGTGCTATAGGTTCGCCATCGCAGCCCTAGTCAGTGTATTTCAGCTTTCAATTCCCTTCCCCATTAGCCATGTTAGCTGGGGGTCCTGAGAGCAATATCTCAAGGGCCATAGGTTTCCATGCCCTTCTACCCATTTGGGGGAAGTCTCAAAAAGTTGTTTTTCCTCAAGAAATGGGTGTGTGAGAGTCTGAAGACAACTGCTGTCTCTGATAGCCTCACCCTTGAAGAATATTTTCTTTCCAGAGATTGGAACAGCCCCAACATTAATCTTTAGGAAATCCACAAAGAAACAGCTCTTTCACCGAACGTGGAGGATTATTTATTATTTTTATTTATATCCCTCCTTTATTATTTTTTTATTCAATGAAGCAAATGTACCAAATAATGCTTCCCCCTGCTATTTTCCCCAGGACAACAACCCTGTGAGTTGGGCTAGTATATAAGCAAATAAATGAACATATTAAAAAGTGAGACGTAATCTATACCGAAACAAGAAGTTGCTCCTACATGTAAGATACAGAATATGTGTCAACTTCTGTCAATTTTCAGATTTGGCAGCATTTTATCATATCCTGTTGAATCCCATTCCAGGCGGTGCTCGACCTTTAGGAACAGCTACAGCTATTGATAATAGATTTAAAGGCAGATATTAAGGGATGGATTTAAAAGACTGCAGGTGTGGATTTGAGAAGCTGGAGGTTTGAACACAGAACACCTTGCTCACAAACACATAATCCATTCACACCCATATTATAGTACGGTATTTCAGTGAACACCATAACCAGTTTGACAACACTGACTTTTGTGAATTGTGTTGCATTATTTTTTTTAAAAAAATAAAACATGTGAATGTTTTGTACGTTTGGAGGGATGGGAACACATCTGAAAAATAACAGAGATCAAAGGAAGAGGAAAAATGGAAAGTCCCAAGTGCAATTCCATGTGCACAGTGCTAAACAGAATCTTATATTCAGCAAAACCTATTAAAAAGTTTTGAAACGGAATTGCTGTCCCGATAATTGAATTAAAAAAAGATAAGTTCTACAACTTACAAGGCTTTGTCTGGATTTGTGAGGTAGAAGTTTTTGAAGCATATCCAAATAGAGCGTTCTTCTACCTTGCATGTCACTTGGATACTGACCAGTGATGACCTGATATGCCCAAAGATCTTCTTTACTCCACTGGAAACGGCTGTAGGAACAAAACAGGACAAATGTAACACAATCTTACAAGCATTGTATCTTAAGCTTCTCCTTTCTTGTGTTCATGGCTGGTTGACTCTAAGCCCTCTTAAGAAAACCCTATTTGGACTGAGATGTTTTGGCAAAACTTTGCAAGGTATTCAGTCCAAATTGCAGATACCACATCCTCCGCTTGGACAATTCCCTGGTTGCTGGGCTTTCCCAGCTTTCTTTTCCAGGAAAGCGTTTGCCAATTCCTTCCTCTGGGTGGATCTTCCTGAGTAGATATACTTCTAATTTCTGTATCACCCAGACAAAAATAATAATAAAAAATGTATACAAATATAAATGAAATTTAAAGCAACTTTATATTTAAAGCATCAACACACATATATTTGCAAAGTCTGCTGCTGCTTCCATGAAAAGCATTTTTCCCCATTAGCCTTGGTGAAGAAGCATTTCTCTGGCCTGTTCCCAGTATTGTGGGCCTGGGCAGAGGTGGATTCCTACCGGTTCGGCCGAACCGGTAGTAGTATGCTGGTGTGGGTTGCTGGAATTGGCAGTGACCCAGGTCTGCCACGCCCCTGAACTGGTTCTCCAGTCAGTGCCGTCGGCACCACCATCTTGTTTTTAAGTGCTGTGCATGCGCAGAACACTTTTAATTGAATTGTGCATGCACACAAAATGTGCATCCAGCACATGTGTGTACCTGCATGCAAGCGAACTGACAGTAAAGCTGGCCAGAACCTACCCCTGGCCCTGGGTGTGTATGGAGGCTGTCATCCATTCCTACCCTCCACAAATGGTTGCTGGTTTATGCTGGGGATGAAGCAGCTTCACAGTGTAGATATTTCCAAGAAGATCATCACTGAAACCCTAACAAGCTACTGTACCTTGATGCATAATCAAGTCCTATCATGAACCCTTGTCCATGGGCATAGATAGATCCAACTTGTGTTTCAAAGTGCTGTTTTTTCATTCAGCACAAATATATGTTTTTGTGTCTAGGACAAATTCTGATAAGGCCGTCCCCCCCCCTCCCCCTGAAGTTCCATTTGAAGAACTAATGGTGGAGGAGGACTATTAACCACTGCCTCGGCCATCATGCAAAAATTCAGCTGTTTCTGTACCCAGATGCATCTTTTTGGAAATAGATGGGCAAAATACCTGGCAGATGGTGGAAAGGACAAAAGCCACTCTGGGTTTCAAATACATAGGCATGAGCACAAGGCAAAGAGGGCAAAGTAAGAATGAGATCCATCAACAAGAAAAAGATCTACTGTGGCTCCCAATAAAAGTGACCAAGCCTCTTTTCTCCTTTGGTTAGTGTCTGTTCCAGTAGTATTGAAAAGTCACAATCCCCCCCCCCCTCTCTTTTTCTTTTTTGCTGTCCTTCTATTTCTTAAAAAAGAAAGGCTTACAGTACTATGCACTCTTAACACTGGTATTATTCAAGCACAAAAACAGTTGTTAAAAAAAAAACAACCTCCGAAGCCAAAGGGGCCTAACACACACTAGCTCAGAGGAACACTGACATAACAAAGGAAATAGCCTGCAGCCAAACAAAACAATGTTGTATCTATTAAGAGCTCTGCGTGTAAAAAGCATCCGCCTTTCCATGGCATTCCAGAAATTATTCTTTGCATTACACTCTTTCAAGATTCAGGGTTGTAAATACCGCCAGCCATTAACAACAACTGAAAGGGGAAGGGGAAGGAAGCAGGGCTTAAAATACACAGCATGAAAAAATATTGGCATCATTTTAAAAAAACAAAAAACCTCCAAGTTGTAGACATAAAAATCAAGCAGTTTACTTTGAAGGCCATTGGACACATTTAAATATCACACCATGTCAAAATTCTGAGAATCTGAGCTTGTTGTGACCAAGTTTGATCATTCGCACTTTATTCCTCTTGCCAGCAGAAGTGGCTTCACAAATTATTTTTGTGGTTTGTAGTGTGATGTGACAGCGAAGATCCTTGGTCAGATCCTTTTAACAAGCCAGACCATAGTCTGGCTTGTTAAAAGGATTTTCAGTGCATACGTTTCACTCAATACATACAGGTATAGATTTATTGGCTGATCATGTCAGTGAAGTGTAACTAGACTGCTTGCTTGTGGAAAGAGAAAACACATCCAACTACCAGTATGAGACAGTATTCTGCCAATACAATTGTCTCATTTCTAGCATAATCCACATTCTCATGGCAGATTATATTTAGTAATACAATGTAGACATGAAGAGAAGGGCCCACAAGATGAGACATATCAGTATTGGACTCTCATAAACCATGCAAATACACACACACACACACACACACACACACACACAAAACTATCTATCTATCTATCTATCTATCTATCTATCTATCTATCTATCTATCTATCTATCTATCTATCTATCTATCTATCTATCTATCTATCTATCTATC